CTCTCTCCGCCTCCCACTCTCTTCCTTTACAGCACTGAAACCTTTACTTGTTCACTCAATCTATCCCTCTCTCATGCACACAGATGGCAGCACCGCTTCCCTCCATCTCTCTGCATATGAGGGCTGCTCTCTCTCTCCCTTCTCTCTCTGTCTCTCTGATCCCTTTCCTTTGCATAAGGGCACAGCTTTAATACACTCCTCTCGTCCTGTCAATTCACTCATGAATATAAGCTGGAAGGTTGCCGTGCCAACAGCACAGAGAGACAGAGAGAAAGAGAGGGGGGAGAGGGAGATAGAAAGAGAGAGAGAGTGAGTGTGTGTCATGCTTTCTGGGTTCACTGCCTCCGTCTGTGCCGTTTCTCACACAAACACACACTTACACCCACACACACATACACCTATACACCCGCCCCACACACACATACATACATCAACACCCACAGAGGCTGATCACAGCGACACACTCTGGCATAAGACCTTGTAAATCCATTAAGCACACACCAGCCACACAAGGCATATTTAAAGTAGTGAAACACACTGATGAATGAGTGTGTCTGAGCAGCAAATGTGCCTGAGATTTACTGATACAGCACAGTACCCATCCTTACTGTGAAGAGAAGCATTCAGTGTTGCCATGTTTGGAGCTGTTTTGTGCTTCAACAAGAGAAGAACTGGGGAGCTGGGCTTGAGCGCTTGAGCTGTTTGGACGCACAGCGCGCTCTTCCCCCTTTTGGTGGGGAGGCCTAGGCCCTACACAGAGCTAGCTGTTAGCTTTCTGACCATGTGTGAGGCAAGCTGTGGCCAAATACAGCCTCAATAAAACACCCAATTTGTAAATAGTTGAGTTTCTCCCCACCCCCTCCTTTTGCAGCCCAGATGTTACAATATTGTTTAAAAATAGTAATTTAAACATAACACAATATATTACAAGATAATCTAGCACAAAAATGATGAGCGATCTTCTGTGGTACTTTTTGCGTGTGGTCATAGCGCCCAAGTGGAGGTGCTAGGGAAGCCAGGACACTAGGAGTTCCAGTTTAACAGACACGCCTTTTATTGAGAGTAAAACGAAAGAAAAAAAAAAAGCAAACAAAAACGGAAATATATTTACAAAATAAACGAGGCTCAATGCAGCCTTTATACAAGTTATTTATCCCCACAACTTAGGGCTTGACAGCAATAACTTCTGGCTTTAGTCTATAGATTCTGTCCTCTCACAACTGGTGTTGGTGTTGGTGTTGGTGTTGGTGTTGGTGTTGGTGTTGGTGTTGGTGTTGGTGTTGGTGTTGGTGTTGGTGTTCAGAACACTTAAGGAAGACTTGGTCCGTTCAGTCCACCTCTTTCCAGCTTCGCGCAAGCCCCCCTCTCCTTCTGAATTAAGCTCTGTCGCTTTTATGCATTCCTCTTCCCGCCAAACGTGATCGGACTGTACCACCCAGCGGTGATAATCTCCTTGCTCGTTTACCAGTTCGTATTGAGAGCTGCGGAAAACCAAACCGTTCCCCCTGGCGGAAAACGCGTGGTTTCTACTCCCCCCACATAGGACGGTGTTCAGCGCGCGCGTGCCCTTTTGAATTTCTTCCCCCGGGGTCTGAAGATAAGTATACGGTTTCTTTATCCTCCTCTTTTATGTTTTCTTTAGGTTTCTTTGTGTACCGAGTTAGATGTTTGAGTTATGTCATTTCACGTGTTTTAAAAGTGAAAGTTTATGCCGCCCGCTCCGATATGTACACTCTCTGCACGGAGACATTTAAACGAATAATCGCGTCCTTGTACATCGTCATCTCAAAGTCCGTTGTCAGTTCTCTTTTCCTGTGAGGAGGTGTAGCCTCGCAGAACTTGTCTGGTGATGGTGACTCGGTCGTAGTCATCATCACATCTTCCGTGAGTGAATAAATTGTGAAATGACACAAAGGGATGACAAAATCTGTACTTTGGGACTGGAACACTGTCACTGCCATCATTAGACGTAGCTTTATGTTTCTTCATAAATTCAAATAACGTGTTTTGATGGGTTTACTTCATTTCTACACTACTGTAATAGATTAGCTAGTTGCTAGCTAGATATCGTTACATTATGGAATGTTGTCACTGACTCTATAGCATGACAGCAAGAAACAGTAAAAGCAGAGAAAAGACATGCACTGGAAATGCATACGCCACACAGCTGTGTCTATACACCACTACACTACTGACACACACTCAGCCTAAGTATTTTTGCTTAATCTAATTCACGAAAATTTCCACTTAACACAGATACAGTCAATTAGCCAATGCATGTTTGGTGTCCAAATTTTGCTTCTTTAGTTTAACTTTGGTGCCATGAGGCTAACATTACAAACAAACACAAGAAGTTAATAGTCACCTAAATCTTTTCCATAAATACATCCCTAAAACCATTCAACCATTCTCTTAAACCACTCAAACAGCACACAGGTCCTCTTTACTTCTCTTCTGCAACAGCATCAGATTCACACCGCCACACAGAACTGAACAGGCTAATCTCTACACACTTTATGACAATCTGATCTATTACAGTCAGCACACTGGGGCTGTGCCACTTGAGGCTAACCCCTAAATTACTAAAAATGCAGATGTGATTGCACTTTTTACAGTAACTGGCCCAAAACGCTACCAGTCCACTGGGAATTCTTCCAAACGTCAAGTTTAGCCACTCTGGCATTAACTAATTCTTGTAAGAATTTTTGGTATTTGTAAATGTTAGTCATGCTGTACTGAAGGTCTGAACTGCAAGCTGTGACAAGTTGGCCTTTTACTTCAATCATGAAACATTTTAGACCACGTTTACACTGGCCATTTCATGTGACTTCTATCTGGATTGTAAATGGTGCTTTATTTTAACTAGTTTGGGCCACTGAAGGCTAATAAAATAAAGATGAGGACTACCTCATGTCAGGAGATGAACTGAAGAAGCAGTGATGCTTGGCGAAGCAGATGCATTTACTGCATACAACTGCATAACATTCACCTAATATGCGTCTCAGACTACCTCCGGAAGTTGTTTAAGGAATCTGATTTCAATCTGTTTTAAAAGATCTTAAGTCATTTACACCTGCCTTTTCTATTTACATGAAATCCTGATACTCAAGACGCATTAAAGACCAGGTGTAAATGGGGTCTTAGACGCTTTACTGCCTATTACTACAGTGACTACTCCACCTAAAGTAATGGCTACTTTTCCATAGTGGAATTTATTTCCAAACAAAATCAGATGGCTATAAAGGAGATATGAGAACATGGTCTTTCAGAAACACACATTTACACACACCTAGACACACTTTGACTGCTGATCAGTTGGAATTTAGAAGAACAAAAGCAGGCAGTACAATAAACTGAGAGAGAATTTGTCATGGTGTATGTGTGCGCTGTACATTGTGTAACTTCAGTGTGTTTTGATCCCAGTCTGTGCTGTTTGTGTGGGTGTTTCTGACTCACAGCATTTCCGCTAACGATTTCAGCATTCGTTTACCCCCAACACACCCTCTCTCTCCTTCTTTTTCTGTTTTTCTGTCTTTCTCTCTCTCTGTCTCTTACTTTCTCTCTTGTTCTATCTCTCTCTTTCTCTTTATATTTCTCTGTCTTTGTATCTCTCTCTCTCTCTCTCACTATATATATATATATATATATATATATATATATATATATATATATATATCTGTCTCTGCCTCCTTCTTTGTCTTTCTGTCTCTCTCTGTCTTTCTCTCTGGGTCAGACGTATGTATGAGCACAGGTGCAGCATAAAATGTACATTGATATGACTGCAATATTTGCCCACAGTGTGTCTGAACAATTGATTTAAGGCAAGATTGCAGCTCATCCTCGCCCACTGCTTGCTTGTAAGATATAGGGTTTAAAAGATGCAGTTAAACAGTGGAGGAGTTGACAAGTTGGAGACAAAACACAAACTGAAAGTTCAGTGATCAAGAGATGGTGACAGTAAGTTGTTTCCCACCAATACATTCCACTGTCTTCTACAAAAATAAAGTTGAGACTGCATATTGTATAGCACATTGTGGCTGAATCAATGCATTAAGGCTTGTGCACCACATACCATTTCACACATACCATGCAACATAGTACATCTTTCAGTTTTCTCTCTCTCTCTCTCTCTCTCTCTTTCTCTCTTTCTCTCTTTCTCTCTCAGCCTTGAAGCTCTATTTCTCTGTTACATATAGAAGTTGGTTACATCAGCAGTATTGTGTGTACACTCAGTACACCCATCAACTCAATGATATAGTCGAGAATATACTGTACATGTTTTTTACTAGGCTATTTCCATATACTGACTTCAAATGATGAGTTTATGTATATATCCTCTTATATTTTTATTAGGGCTGTCAAACAATTAAAATAATTAATTGAAATTAATTACATTCTTTTGTGTAGTTAAAGGTTCTTAATCATATTTTGCTCTCTCTACTTTACCAAATGTTTCGATAGTTAGTTCAGCATAACTCCCAATCACTTGCCAGTACACGACTAGCAAACACAGATTTAAACAGTTGCAAACACATTAAATCACAGTATTTTTCATTAAAAACACAATTACTTAATGCAGTTACTTTATCTGCATTTATGGGCAGGCAGTGGTACCACCTGACATTTTTATACTTTGGGAGACATAAATAGAAAGAATATTAAGATTCATATGATTTATATTGTATGAAATGAGATGTTTTTTTATTAAACTATTCAATAGTAATGTAATAGACAAAAAATACATGATGTCACTGACCCAATTACAAACTACAAATATTATAAATCTTGTTTTGCACGAGATAGCACTGTTTGGCTTATAATTCAATAATAATCTATAATTCACATATATTTAGATATTTTAAGTATTCACTAAGTTACTAGTTTGAATTTCCAGTCTTAAAACACTAGTATTAATACTGTGGGCTACAAACTTTCAAATCACTATTTCAACACAAAATAACACAAACACACATACACACACACACTCACTGGTTCTGTACCTTAGCTGCCATGATCATGGATGACCCGCCTTTGACTCCCAGTATGGGGATGTGTGTTTGAGCGGAGATGAAGTCCAGTATCTGAGCAATGGCTTCCTGATCGGTATCGTCCCCAAACACCACGCCCTGCAGCCAGTGGTCAGTCATCAGGTCGCAGATGCTCTTTATGATGCTCTTCGGGTCAGTTTCGTTCATGGTCAGCATTTCCACACTGGGGGCCAAAGGAGTGTGTGCAAAATCATCTTTATCCCTTGCACTTGCCATCGCCACTTCACTGGAGTTTCCCACCAGAACCACGGCGATGCTCAGACCCTGCAGCAGCTTAGGCCCCACCCCCAGCAGCTCATGCCCCGCCCCAGGGAGGTAGTGGGCCACGCCCCCTCCACCTCCACGGTCCCGTCTGGACTGACTTCCAGGGGGCAGCAGCAGCAGGCACAGGAGAAGAAGCTGGATAAGGGAGGGGCGGGGCCAGGGGCGGAAAGGGACCGGGGGCGGGGTCAGTGAAACAGGACATGATCTCTTCTCCTGAGAGGGTGAAGACGAGCCACAGCGACCACAAACCAGCATTGCGGAGGAGGGGGCCAGAAAAACCTACAGATAAAAAACATCAAAATAGCTATTAAGTACAAGTTATTAATTTAACACAATATTATGCAGAAGCCTCTGACATTAAGTATATCATCAAAGCTATCAGTATTTAATTTGTCCACTCTTTACCTTCCAAAATATTATTAAAAGCTAGGATAGAAACTGGGACTCCTCACACCTGTGCAAGACCTGGTAGACCACTAAACAGGTTCCCATCAGATAAACAGTACTTAAAGCTTAAATCCTTGAGAGAGGACAAAATCAAGCTCTTGCTTTAGATCGGAAAAAAATCTGTAGGAATTTCTGTCCCTCCACTGTCAGAAGACAACTGAACACTATGAGTCTGAAAGGATGAGTAGCTGTCAAGAAGCCATTATAGAGAAAAGCAAATAGACAAAAAAGAAGAAAAATTGCAAAACAAAGAAAGAAGCTGTTGTTGTTTTCAGAATAATGGACTGTCCACCCCAGTGTTCAGAGCTTAACCTCACTGTATGTATTGGGGATTACTGAAATCGTGAGAAGCAGAAAATGTAACCAACTTCTAGGACTAAATTTTGAAGGCGTGGAAAAATATCCCTGCAGATTTCTTTGAAAAAGTGAAAGCAAGTCTCCCAAAACATATGGAGGCAAAGAAATGGAGGTGAAAACATTTGAGGCAAATGGTGGGCTCACTGTAAACAAAAGGAATGTGGAGTCTTCTGTGTAATTTCTGTTAACATAAGCATTTAGAATACTGAAAATAAACCTCTTATGAAGCTTAATGTCTGTTAAAGTAAAACAGACACTCAAATTCAAATTCAGGGAATTTTTTTTATCCTACTTCACAACCAGCAAGCTTCTGTCTTTAATATTCTTAACTATCTATAGCAGTGGTCTGCCTCATGGTGGTGCTGTAGCAAATCAGCTCACCCTGTTGGTCCTTCATAGCCTAGCAACTGTAACTATGACCAGAATGCCTCTGAAAAAACTTTACAATATGCCATGGCATATTTGAAAATCTGAAAAGTGCCCAATTTTGCAAGAGATTAGTGGAAGGAGTGAATTGTTACTCATTTCTCAAACCAAACACACTAGCGGAGACATGTAAGTTCTCAAATGATGTGAGAAAGACCACATTACCGAAGCACAAAAGAGCATTTCCAAAGAAGAACTGTTGAACCAAATATTTCGGTGCCACTGAAGCTAACACCAGCACCTCTAAGGTGAGTAAGTTAGCAGTTAGCCAATGCTGGAGTAGCCACCCAACATTGAACCCCCCCCCCTCAAAAATACCAAGAAGTATTTCACAAATTGGAAAACATAATAGCCATTTTGATTGGAAACTGCATAATGAATTTTGGACAATATACAAAGATTATTTGAATCTGATATGATATTTTATGAATCTACAAAGATGAAATTGCCATAGTTTTCTGTAACAGTTACATCAACAGGTCAGCTCTTGCGTGTCAGTATTGAATAACACATGCATCCCATCATGCTTTCTACAGAATACACAGTTAAAGCAGTGTGCATCATTTATAAACTTCAAAATAAGTACAGATCACTGTTAAAGCACAGAGAGCTTTCCTCAGCGTTGCTGTGTTAGCACTGTGCTTGCAGGTGAGTGCAGTGTGCATCTGTTCACTCAGGTGAGATCAGCACCTGCCCTGCTGCACCTGACACACTCTAACAGCAAATATTACATTCTTCACATTCTTGTAAACCACACAAATGTGCGAAACTGTTTATTAACTGCTCTCTGTCTCTCTCTCTCTGTCTCACACACACACACACACACCACTACAAACTTACACAGTCATTTAAAACAAATCTTACATTGTACCCCATTACAACACTAAAAGAAAAGAAAACAAAATACTGTTCTACTCCCCTCATCATGCAGCAGTAGAGCTATATCATTTACTGTGGGTTTAAAGGAATGAGTGAGGAGAAAGTGAGCGGGAGAGGGAGGTTAACAGGGTGAGTATAACACACATAAATACTGCATAATTGAAACAGACTGTACACACACACAGATCAATATTTGATGTGGAGTGTTTTGAAGCAAGATTATAGCAGTTATTATGGATGACATAAACTCTCCCCCAGGATAGAAAGGGGGGGGGGTAAAAGAGAGAGAGAGAGAGAGAAACAGTGGACAGAGCACATCATATGATAAGACACATGAGAGTGTCTATTTCTACCCACTGTGTGTGTGAATGGGACTGCTGTACTGCATGTGTACAAGAAAGTGTGCAGACACGCTGAGTGGGCATGAGAGAAATATTTGGTTCACTGTTTGATTTATATTTGTTCATATGGCACTGTGGAGGATATGCATTGATATGTTGTACAGATAAGTGCTATGTGTCGCCACTGCCCATTTCTTTAGAAATATAAACTTGATTCAAGAAGGAAAAAAACAGAATGAAAACTTCAACGCAAATTAAAATAATGAGTTGGCTTACATAGACTACCCAACTAGTTGACAAGTCAACCTATAAATCCACTAGGCAGTGTGGACAGAAGTCTGCTAGTTGAAGACAGTGCCTGAAATGCAGCTGTGGAAAAACTGCACCGAAGAAGAGAGAACAGAAATCAGTTTATCTACTAGATAAAATCTAAAGTACTTTATTAGAGTGTAAATCAGATCTCAGGATCTGGCCTTCTGGGTACCCTAATCAGGATTTTTCAGGGTCACTTCATCTTGCTAGCTGATTTACTGTAAAATTAAAGGCTAACTACTAATATTGACTACTACAATATGGCTAAATTATATAAATTCATAACTGGCTAATTTGTGTATTGCAGATTATTGGATGCTTGTTTAGGGGTTTAATACTGTTACAGCTACAGCTTAAATTACAAATGACCTTCTCAGCATTCTTAATCTATTGGTCTGTCTCAGGACGCGTATTTCTTGCATATCCACATAACATTAAGCTGAGACAGCAGGGACAGGGGAGGATTTTTAAGTTGGGGTGCTGAAAGATAACATCATGGAAATGATTTGTCTTTTTCTGACTGATCTTTTTTCTTTTTTTGCTAATTTACATCAGAACGTTTAACAATGAGACCAGACACAACCATATATACAGATAACTGACACATCAAACCAGTGACGCACATCATCACTCTGCTCTCTCAAAAACATTATTAATTTAGAAATTTTTTAAATAAAAAAATAATATTAGTCTGCTTTGGGGCTTCAACTGGCCTACGACTCTGCATAGACTTTCTCTCTTTGTACCTCAACTTCAGTGTGTTTTACTGACATGGCCTCAAAACGACCAACAGTAGAGGAAAGTGATTCAGCTCACTGTAATAAAAAAAAGGCATTCACTTAAACAGTGTATTATTATAGGTTTTGAAAATACGAACTTTAAATATATAAAATACAAACTCCACTCTAAAACAAGCATACATGGGTCTTTACTACACTCAAATTATTATTTACTCTTAAGTTCAGAACATTTCACTACTATAATTATTTTATTTTAGAATACTGTGTCCAGTACACTGGAATTAGGCATATAAAATATTAAAGATTGTGGGAAATAAACATATTATTTCATGTTATTTCTATCTATGACGCCAGGCTAACGTATAGAATGTATGTAATATGTGTAACATTATATACAAATCAATATAATATGTTATATAGTTTATGCAATGTTTTCTGACATTTTTTCAAATCTTTGACCTCGACTGTTTCAACCTCAATCTGTTCACTTTATTTATGCGTTATGTTTATTTTGCAAAAACTCCCACATTTCATGCACCTAAGTATACTGGACACTGGATTTTTTTTTTTGTTTCTCTGTAAACAAACAAAAAAAATAGTTTCTAGGCTTTCAAACTTTGTTAATCATTCACTTTTAATCAGCATAACTGGCTGTGTTGGTCAGAGTAAAAGATTGGATAGTGATATGCTTTTAAACTATGTTTACTGTGCTCTGATATTTCTTTCCAAAGGAGTACTGAAAAGACCATTGAGGACCTTTAGTAGAGAATACGTGACAGATAAAGTACTTATAATTAAAGTAATCCCACTAAAGTTTGAGAGAAGTAATTAGTAATGGATTATGTTTTCATTTTTGAATAACCACCCCAACACCCCAATTTAAAGCGCAGCTGGTTTTTTTCAAGTAAAAAAAATGAGTTATGAGGTTTTCTCATGACAGCACTGATAATAATATATAAGAGTTTGCTGTGAATTTTTGTTGTTGTTGAAAGTACTGTTGCATCGCCTGCCATTTTTTCAGGTAAAGTAGCTTTGCTAACAAACAACTTAGCACAATGAGTTGTTGATTAATCTTTCAATGTTCCAGAATTCAAAAAGTTCAGTTCTGGCTTTAGCTAGAACCAAAAACAATGAAAAGATTTTTCTCAATGGTCTCAATGTTACCCTGACAAACTAATAAACATCATTCACTGAGGACAAAAAAGTAGAAAAGGACGAGTCATCACCTTCTGCTCTGCTCAAAAGTGAGCGTTAGCTCATTAGCTCATCTGAAGAGGCATTCTACTTTTCTCATGCACAGCAAACACAAGTAAAATTTGCCCGGTTTAAAAGTCAGTTCACTTGAAAGAGAAAAGACACGGGAACATGAGAAAATAATTTTACTTCACACTGAGTCCATCTAGGTGAACTTTAAACCCACAAATTACAAAATAGAAATAGAACCAACAGGGTGAGCTGTGGTAACTTTTTCTGCCAAAAAATTAAATGAAAGAGCTGCTCCTCAGTCAACATAATGCCGCTTGTCACTCACATTTAACCATTAGCCATTCACCAGACAATACGTTCTCTCCAAAATTGCCTCAGTGCTCACCTGCTCATGTCCAGCAAAGAAAACAGTGAGGCAGCAGTTCAGCGCGACAGCTGCTTTACTGATTTTTTTTAGCCTGCTAGCATCAGTGCACCAGTTTACCCTGTTTGTGTATTATGATACATTTCTGCAAAAAGCAACTTTTTTCCCCGCAGTTAACCAAATATCTGCTAATTAAACAGGGCCAGT